TCCCCCCCCCCCCCCCCCGTAGATTCTGGTGCTTTGGCATTGCCCACAACACTATCATCTCTGGCTTTCCATGCTTGAATTACCCTTCTAGGTCTGCGTCTTCTCACTCAGGTTTTTCCCCAATTACAAAGACAATCAGTCAAGTTCATACCGTTTTGAGCTGATCGATTGTCTTTAAACAAACTCGCCCAAGTTGCTCCTAGTTCATCAGTTTCCACTTCAATCTCTAGATCCACACTATGAGTTGGTGTAGGAGTCTGCTCACCGCTTACCAAATCAGTGGATGGACCTACGGGAGAACTTAGATCCAGCTCTTTAGGATTACTTCCCTCCGAGGTTCCTGGCTGCACTTTCAGTTGCATAGCTGATGGCAATGGTGTAATCACTTGTTTTCCCATACTTACCGAGCTCCCAAAAGTTGTCAGAAGTTCTTTTTGAGGTCGTCCCCGTCCTCGACCTCGTCCCCTCACCATGATAACCACGGTGGCACAGGTGAACTACCTTACGCCATGCTCATGAGAGAGAGAAAAGGTTTTTTAACATTATTAATTCTATCTGAGACCTTTTTTAACAAAATTAAGCTTGAATTTGCTGTGCCACCAGGTTTATGCTACTATTCATTTTCTTTTTCTAGTGTTGAAGAACAACTGTATCATGCTATCTTGTGAAATCCAACATTTTCAGTTGACTAAATAAAGTGGTGTTACCTGCTTTCTGCTTTTATTTTCGTCTTAGAGCGTACTGTGCACTATTCGACCCTGTATTTTCACAACTCATTCCTCTTCGATATATATATCCATCGTTGATTTAGGAATGACCTGTTTTTTTTAGAATGGTAAAGTTGTATTCATCAGCAATGAGGGTATGCTGGCAACCAAACAAAAATTCCAAGGCAAAGTAGTCATGATTACAAAGAGCCTAGGAAATCTACTAACTGATCTACTTCATATATACCCTCTTCTTTACACCAAAAATATAGCGTATTAATGCAGTTTTCTTTAACTTTCTGCATTGGGTTAGTAATATTGTTAAAGCACCTATTGTTTCTTTCCTTCCAAATTGACCACCATATGCAAGATGGAACTAGATTCCACCATTTTTTCTGTGTTTTACTCCCCCCTCTTCTCATCCAACAATTTAGTAGGTCAGCAGTATGCTCAAACACCACCCAAGGATCTTGAATAATGCTTTGAAACATATACCATATCTGGGCAGTCACTCTACAGCGAAGGAACAAATGATTGTTTGTTTCCTCCTTCTCGTGGCAAAAGAAGCACCTAGAAACAATCTGAAATCCTCTTTTTTTCAGTCTCTCCTGAGTCAGACATGCTCTTCTGCACACTAACCATGTGAAACACTTTATCTTGGTTGGGGTGTTGGATTTCCAAATTTGTTTCCAAGGTCCCAATTTAGTAGGTCAGCAGTATGCTCAGGCACCACCCAAGGATCTTGAATAATGCTTTGAAGCATATACCATATCTGGGAAGTCACTCTACAGTGAAGGAACAAATGATTGTTTGTTTCCTCCTTCTCATGGCAAAAGAAGCACCTAGAAACAATCTGAAATCCTCTTTTTTTCAGTCTCTCCTGAGTCAGGCATTTTTTCAGATGTAAATGGCAGATCCACACGTTCACTTATATGAAATAACTTCAGTATTGCCACATTATCTGTCTGAGCAGCTATTTTTAGATATTCTTGATTATATATATTCCCAAATTTGGACATACCTACTTGTTTACTGGTTTGAATAGTTTGCTTACTGAGTTCACAGTATTCTGGAAGCCTAGTCTGCCCTTGTCCTTGGCTTTTCATTTCTCCAAGTTAATAACCCCTCTTACTAATTGTTGTTTTTCAACATCTTGCAGTATAATGGCCTATCGGGAGTTCGGTTGGAGAATGGAGTTTGCTATGCTAGATTTTACTTGGCTACCGTGCAGGTAGACTCATATTACTGGGCTTCGTATAGTTCTCGTACGGTCACCATTACCCAAATGGGTAATGGTTCAGATATACGATTTCACTTGGGTATTGGCTACATAGGATACCGGTTTTTGTGAGTGTTTCTTATTTGAATCGCAAAATGGGTACATGCTGTAAGACTATGCCTGGGTGCAAACATTGAGCAACACAGACAGAATTAATGCTGATACACTTGGAACTATAGAATAAATAGAGAGCTAATAGCAGCAAATATGGAGCTGTAAATGATGAACATATATGTCAATGTGATGACTACATTTTACTGTAAATTCATAGTCTTCAAGCCAAGTGCTCTGAACAAATATACTTTGTGATTAGAAAATTTTGAATAGAATATACTAACGCGTAATTGTTCTTTTTTCATGACAGTGATCTGTCCATTACCTACTTAACTTGAAAATGAGCGGATTGAAATGTTTTAATTATCTCTCTATTTTGATTACCGCATTTAATTTGTCCTTTTTTAAAGAAAAAAATCTACATTAACTTTAAGTTTTTTTTTTTGTAAAATACCTACGAAGACATTTTCTCATTTTGGCAGAACGAACAAATTATTACAACATTCAACAGCAACACCTTCATGTGATTTCTAAATCAGTTACTCCAAAGACTCTTAATGATTCTCATGATACTTATAAGTTAAGAAGAGTGACTTTTTAGTTTACAAAATAGTTTAATGATTTTAGTTCAAAAGAGTACTAATTAGCCACTAACATCTTGTTCATCAGTTCCGTTTTTTCTCTGCAAAGAGAAAAAAAAAACTTAACTATACACAAAATAAGCATCAACCACTATATAACAATAGTTTTACTTTTCATCATCAATATAAGTTTTACAACATACAAAATAATAATAATAATAATAATAAATAAAAACGGAAAATAAAAAAAAAAGGAAAACATACAATTTAATATTTAGTGGTATTCTAATTCCCTCCCTTTTGTTATTTACCTCAAATATCTCAAATATTAGTTACTATTGTTAAAAAAAAAAATTTATTTAATACAATATTTTCTTGCGGGTAAATTTTACTTTATAGTATTCGTTCTAGTGTTGAAATATTAGTTTACCCATTGTCAAAAGCTAGTTTACTTTATAGTAGAAATGTTCTTTGGGGAAAAAGTCGTTGCTAAAATTGTTTCATATACATTGATATATTTAAAGGTATATATTATAATAACTATTGATATAATGTTGAATTCATAGTTGGTTCAAATATTTGTATATTAAATGATTGAATATGTGTTAAAAATACAGTATAAATATGTGATATTTGTTGGCATATATGAGTTATACTAGTGAACATTTTCGCGCGGCAATAAAAACTATTTATAAATTTAGAAATAAACTTACTAAAATTTAATCGAAATAATAACATACATCCATATATATCCTTACAAAATCAATACTATACATTAAAAAATTTCTTCTAATAAAATAAAGTAAAACATGAAATGAAAAATAAAGGTAGATATAAGTAGAAATGAATTGTATTTTAATATCGTTTTTTAATTATTAATTTTTTCAAAATCTTTTTTTTTTCTATTCTCGTATCTAATCTCCCCCTCATTTGTACATATCCTAAATAATAGGCTCTAGTTTAGAAAATAGGTTACTTTCCTTTGAGTTTTCATTCTTTACTTTGTGATTATCTCCGTTTCTTTCCCTCTCTTATTCTACTTCCTCTTTTTATTTTTCTAGACCATTTTCTTTCGATCCTTTCTATATTTATTTAATTAATTTCATTATTTTCTTGTTTCCCTAATTCTTGTTGTTAGTCAAAGATTGTGCTTTATTTTTGAATAATTAAAATTTTGATACTTTTTTCTACTTTAATATTCTCATTACCTATTTGAAATCTAACGTCTTTCATCTTTTATAGTAATTATCTTCCCCCAATCAATTGAGTAATTATTTAATCGATGTTAAAATTTTAAATTAAAATGATAGGTACTAACACATTAATGAGATTTGAATACAATAAGAGGTAGTTAACGGTGAGTAAAAATAGCTAGTTAAACGTAATTCACTCTTTTTAATTTGAACTAAATTTGAAACTTTAAATATGTCAAAATTAAGTTTGATTTAATTTCTCAGCCAATCAATTTTGTGCATAAGAAAATATAATTTTATTCGCATTATTTTTTAAAACTAATTAAGATCAAGCCTTCGGATATCTAAATGTTTTGAGAAATAATATCAATGAAAACAGTAATAAACTAAAGTTTATACGTTGATGAGAGATCTGTTTTCTTTCAACGTTCTTATTTATGAACAATTTATTATTTTCGTAATCATGTACGAAAACACACAAAGAAAAAAATCTTACATAAAATAATGAACAAAAAAGAAAGTTAAACCAACAAATTAAAAGAAACAAAACACATATACGAAATGTATTAAGTAAAATTGCATCTTATAAATATTTAAATAATTATATCTACAAGTATAATCAAAAAGATATATTTGAGATACTCATAATAAGTATAGTTTGATAAGAAGTCCATTTGAATAGTTGTTGTAGCTAGTTTGTTGATACATTTTTCTTTTCACTTTCTGCAAATGATGGAACAAACTCAATAAAAATTATACTTAACAATCAAAGAAAAGATATATTGCTTAGAAATCATAACAATAAACGTCCATGCATAAGAAAATCTTAAGAAGAGATCATAGTATCACCTAGAACCATGTATAACCACTAATAAATTTGTTGATACAATTATCCAATAAAAATAATAATTAGAATTAACTGATCTGATGAAATATAGAATCATGAGTTTTTCACCTAGCATATGGGGTTGTTGGAGCTTTGTTCCTAAATTTATACTACCATTTTATTGAGACCCCAAAATTTGAAGAGGTGCAACATTTAATATCTTTTAATAAATATTAATTAGTGGAAAGGAGATGGGGATTGAAATCAGGTTTTCTGGGCAAAAAAATCGTGCAACACTAATGGATACTATTTAATACTAATATAACATCAATACCTATTAATAGGGAAGGAGAAAGAATTTTTTTCCGGTAGAAAATTTTGGGCAACATTAATGGTGAGTTATTGTTTTTTTTTTTTTTAAAAGTTAATGGCAAACAAACAATTACTTTTAGTGGTCATAAATGTTAGTTTTATATTTATTTTTTTAATGAGGAAATAATTAAATATAAAGCCATAATTTTTTTTATATTTTAAAATAAGGAAAAATCCCAAAAAATTACAAAAAACGACAAATAGGATTTGAGGCCTTAGAGAGCGCCACATCATCGATTTTATGTTTTACCTTTATATATATACTAGGTAACTTGGTCGCGCTACGCGTGGTCATAAAATGTTATATCAAAAGTATAAATTAATTTTTTCATATTATTTGAATATAAAAGAGTTTTTAGTTCAAATTCAATTAAATAGATTAAAATTTAAATTTGAATTCATCTTATTTTTCGTTAAACATAAATTGATTAATGTCATATAACTAGCCTAAAGATAAACAAAGCTCACTAAAAGATTATACGAGAAAAGGAGAAGAAAATAGTTTATCCATAACAAAGTGAAAATAAATGTATTTATATGTCGGAAATTATAACGTACATATTCAAAAAGTAGAGTTTAGAAAATAAAATAAAAAATAAAACTGATCATTTTGTGTAATTTACACACAATACATATGTATTAATTAGCTTACTTGTACATATAATATGTAATTTTGTGAAACATCGTAGATTGAAGATAGAGAATTGATTGCTAAATTATAGACTTTCTAATTTATTTTTTCTTCACTTATTCTTTAAAAAAAATACTTAATAACATAAAGTTTATAATGTGAAAATAATAATAATATAAAAAGACTAAATTAACTGGTAATTATATGATAATTAAAATAGATTGTAAGATGTATAAAAATAATTTGATAAAATATAGAAATTGTGATGTCTAAAACCTAAAAATGAGCATACATAAATTATATTAAATTTAAATTGCTAAGTATAGTTGGATTGTCTAGCTAATTATATTTTTATAGGCATGAAGGTGACATTTGGATAATCAAAATGTTATAGTAATTTTGGTCACTTCACAGATAATAAAGAACTTGTTTGAACTTTTTTATACTTTTTACACTTTCTTACATTACATACTCCCTTCATTTCAAAATAAATGTTTGTTTTGATTTTTTATTTTGCTTCGAATCGTGTTTTACATAATCATGAAGACTTTAATGATGTTTTTTTTTTCAATCTTACCCTTATTTAATCAAAAGAAATTTATATAACCAAAAAATTGGGTCAAAGAACTATATCTTTTTTCAAGATATATATTAAAATTAATTTAGTAAAAATATCTTACTTTATAGTCCCGCCCCAAACTAAAAAAGAAAGTTGACATACTACGAAAAGGTGAATATCATGGAACTGAAGAGTACATAACAAAATGAAATTGAATTACACTCTCTATGTTTAAAAAATAAAAACTTTTCCTGAAATGAAAATCCAGCAAATTGAAGTATAAATACGATTTAGTGTAGTTTTAGTAGTAGTTGGTACTCTTCTTCAATGTCCGTTATTTAACTTGAAATAAGAAACACATAGGTGCCTCTTTGGCTCTTTAACTTATGTCTTAGTAGTTATGTGAGAAAGACTTTAAGAAAAATTAAGGAAAACACTATTTTAAATATGAATAAAAAAAATAATCTTCAAGTAGGCGTTTCATGAAATAAATAATTATGAACTTTAAAGAAAAAATATAAATAGTTCTATGTGCAATAGTATTTTTAAACCTTTGTTAGTAGTTAGTATTATTACACATAAAGTTACAATAACTAATTTGCATCTAAACCAAAAACATACTTGCAATAATAAAAAATTATAAAAATTCAAACTAAAGAAGTTACATGGAGAAAATAAAAACACACACATCTTCCTTGGAACCTTATCATAAGAAAATAGATAAAAATAAGAATACAAAATCAATGCCCACTTTTTTGAGCTCTAGTCCAACACCCTCTTTGACAAACTAATCAACATTCAAGAGTCTTCTTCATCGCGTCAAGTTACAGCATGAATTTGATAATATAATAATACTACAAAGAACAACAAAATATAAAGAATAATCTTGAGTTGGAATTTCATGAAACAAAAAAAAGTTGTGAATTTATATTGATAAAAAATAGAGAGATATCATAAAGTATCCTAAATTTTATAATTTAATAGTCGGAGTCTATGAATATGAATATGAAAACTTAAAAATCGTGGAATTAATGATATTATTAAAAATTGAAGTTTAATAGATTTACGTTATGGAGGTAAAACTTAAATATTAAATAACAAATAAAAAACACAAATAAAGTATATAAAATAAATACATTTATATTATATAAAAATATAATTTTTTTGAATTGAATAAATAAAAAGAAAGTAAAAAAAGAGCAAAGAAAGGAAAAAACTATAAAATAAATAAAAAACATAAAATTTAACTATCTTGAATAGTTTGTTGGAATTCTTTTTAAATCAAATGAAAAAGTTTGTAATAATTGATGAGAATTTGAGAAATATTATAGGAAAAGAGAATAATAACGTTAATGACAAAATCAATCAAATATGGCTATTGAAGAAAATATAATTAAATATGATTAGTTGTAATGGTTTTTTATGTTTTAGGTGAATTTTTTGGTATTTTAAAATTAGAAAAATGGCCAAAAAAGATAAATTCGATTGGAATCCTTAGAGAGGGTCACATCGCCGTTTTTATATTCAGTTTTACTATTATATATAAATTTGTAATAAATTAAATATTTCACTTTTACAGTAAAATATTAGTTTAAATAAAAGAAAAAAGATAAATACAAATAAAGGTCTTAGAGAAATGCCACATATTATACAAGAAAAGACAAAGAAATCATACCTTTTACAATGAATTCTGGATACATATCATGAAAAATATTCTGGATACATATTTAGAAAATATATTTTCATGTAATTAAATACACATATTTATGCAATTTATATATGGATCATTTTCATCTTACCTTTTTCTATAATATCATGAATCATCTGCATTTTTTTGAAACTTTCAAATTTAATCATAAATCTCTACCTATAGAACCTGAAAAAGAACAAAATTTATGTTAGCATAGTTTTATAAAATCTTTACAAATAAAAATGTAAACAAATGGAGGATGAAGAAAATTATTTAAAAAACCATATGAAAGAAGTTACAGAAGATAAAATATATGTTTAAATAAATAAGGAAAATGACTAAAAGAAGGGAGTGGATGAAAGTAAAACAAAAATAAAGTAAAATGTAGATTTCAGTAGTAGTTTTATGGATATGAAATAACAATAAAGGGTCACAACAATAAATGTGTAATTAAAAAGTAAGAAATTAATTAAAATTTGACTTTTTATATGGCCACGTTTTAGGAGACATTTTAAAACGGTAGTACCATTTATCTTGTGTATTTAATATTATTTTTTTTATAATTTTTTAATAAAAATGAAGAAAAAGATGCTAAAAAAATCTGAAAAAATAAATAAATCTATTTCCTGATCAATGAGGCATGCCACATCAGCAGACTTATGATCCTGCTTTATATATATATATATATATATATATATATATATATTTATTTATATGTATAT